TTCCTAAGTGTCGCCCCACACTCGTTTGCAGCCCACTGCGATCATCTTTCGCGTTCTCTCGTTCACGCTCTCCCTGCCCCCTCCATTTTTCCATCTCTGTCTGCTCTCCTCCTCGCTATTTTATCTCCTCCTGCGACTCCCTTTTGCTGCTTTCCCCCCACAGTTCTCCTCTTTTTCTCTCCTTACCTTCTCTTCCCCCCTTCTGCTCCCTCGCGCTCTCCCAGTGAAAGGCTGAGAATACCCAAGGGAGCTGATGCAATTAAAATGCTAATCCTGTCTGTCTACAGAGAGAGGTAGAGGGGGGGCTGACAGCATGAGGGATTGTGGCTCACATGGAGAACTCGACTGAAATGGAGAGCAGAGGATGGGGGGAGGTGGCTGGGGGCACAGAGAGAAAAGGAGGCGGGGTATGACGGGAGAGCGGCCCAAGCCAAAGGAGGAGGGAGGGCGAGCGAACCAGAGGGAGGCATAGAGAAATAGACAGACGAGGCCCGAGCCTCGAACACAGCCGTGATGGACTGCTTCTCCAGTAATGCACAGAAAATGGCAGCATTAATGTACTGCTTCCAGCAGCGAACACAATACCTTCGTCTGCGCTTAACACGTCACCTGTGCCCTACCTGTGCCTGATTATGTATGCACTCAAACCCAGCCGGGCGCTCTGAATATTTCATACCGCTCGCTGGCTTTTTCTGCTCGGCCCTATTGCACCTTTTCCTTCACAAATGAGGGAATTCCTTGCCGCGAGAAGAGGCGTGCGTTTGCGCCGATCGTTCATAAATTTAATGGAAGGATATTAGTGCAACTTGGACAGATGCGGCGCATTAAAATGTACATTATTTCATTAGCATGGCGGTGTGTTTGTATTAATGAAGTGTGCTAATTGAAAGATTTAACAGGCTGGCTTTATTAATCTTCTTAAAGACATACAGACATTGAGATGCGGTGGCTTTTCTGGCTCGTAATATGTTGGGGATTCAGAATGTAGCTGTAAGCGTTTACCGCAAAGCTATTATAAAACGTATCCAGCCGTAGCACTTTATTCATTATTAGGGGTTTCGAAATCAAGGCTCATAAATTGAAATATAAAGGGGTGTTAGAAATTTCAAGGGGTCCATATCATCATGTTGTGGGTTATTTGTGTAATTATCAGTAATCGCAGCTTAATTGAGATAATTAGGCTAAAGAAAAGGCTGTATGCTTGAGGGATTGGGCTGGAGGCAGAGCTCTTAATGGATATTGTGGGTGATACTCTTTGGGGAGGTGGTAAATTTCACTCTATTGATTGTGGGGCTGTGGTCGTAAAAACAACGAGCCTCCCCTCACCCATCAGACTAAACACGTTCACGATGAGTCTGGGTCACAATCCAGGAAAACAGAGGTGCATTTTGAGTTTAGGCCAGACACATGCTCTACTACACGAGTGCAAGTTGCAAGCATATGGCCTTTTGTTATTGTGACACTGACAAACCTAAGTACTTCCGGAGGGTGATGCCAGATTAAATGTACAATTAAACCAGATGTGACATTCAGTTCGCTTGCTGTAAACATGTCAACAGTCTAACTAGATTTCTCAGCTATTGTTTTTAAACCGTTGCTCTGCTTTAGTTGATATGAAAGGGAAAAGTGAGAGACAGCACCATAGCACCCCTTGTGGTAGTGCTGAGAATGCTTTACAGTAATTTAAATAACTATTTAAACTTAATTTAACACTAGAATGAATGACTCTGTTCAAAGTTTTTAATAGAATTAAAACGTTTTGTAAAAAAGATTTGTTAGCACAGTTTTTCATATACTGTTTTACTTAATTTCTGTCTTTTGTTTTGTAATAAATTAAATAATTATTTAAATAAATTACCAGCAGAATGAATAACAGTTTTTAATAGGAATTACAAATATTTTTAAAAACTGACCATTTGTTTTTCTCTCGCTTGTTTTGTAATAAAAATAATTTGATATAATCCACCACCAGAATGAGCTTTTAAAAAGCAGATTTCTTTCTTTTTGTTTTATAAAAACAATAATATTAATATTTATATATATTATAATTTACCACCAGAATGAGTGACAGAGCTCAAAGTTTTTCTTTTTTGTTTTATAATGATGACAATAAATCATTATTGAAATAATTTCCCACCAGAATTAACTTAGTTATTATTTTGTTAATATTATTATTATTATAAAAATAATTATTGAAATGAATGATGAGTTAAGAGTATTTAATGAAAAAGTAAATATTTCTAAATAGATTTGTTTTTCTCTCTTTTGTTTTATTATATTAATTTTAGTGCTGTCAAAAGATTAATCGCGATTAATCGCATCCAAAATAAACGTTTTTTTTACATAATATATGTGTGTGTAATGTGTATATTTATTATCTATATATAAATACACATGCATGTATATATTTCAGAAAAATATGCTATGCTATGCTTAAATATTAAATATATTTATATATAGTATTATATTAATATAAATATATACATGTAAATATTTTCAAAATATATACTGTATGTGTGTGTGTTTATATATACATAATAAATATACACAGTACACACACATACATTATTTAATAAAACTTTTATTTTGGATGTGATTAATCGTTTGACAGCACTAATTCATTTAGTAATTAATTACATTTTCTACCAGAATGAACAATGCAGAGTTTAAAGTTATTAATAAAACGGGGAAAAAATGAAAATTGCACTGGTTTTCACATTTCAAATGTCTTTTTTTTTTTTGTGTGTGTGTCTTTTGTTTTAAAGCCTAACCATCGACTGAATGCATGAAATCTTATGCTACAGTGTTATTCTCTATTGTCCCTGTGAAATGAATAAATAGTTTGACTTCATAGCGCATATGAAACAACAGTATACTATGCTCACATGGTGTTAATAATCTTACTGCCGAAATCACTTTGAATCAAACTTAATGTACTTGAGAAAAAGTGTTCTTCCTTTTTGTTTGACTTTGGGGAGTTTTGCTGGCTGGAAAAGCAAGAGGTAAAGAGAGGGAAAGAGGGAGGGATGGTGAATCGGGGTCATTAGTTCAGGCTGCTGGGTCTGCTGCATTCCTGAGCTCAGAGAGGGGGAGAAACGAAAGATGGAATGTGACTCAGAGAGAAAGAAAGAGGGAGGACCTGAGTGGAGGGACCCTGAAGGGGCAAGAGAGAACAAGAAAAAAAGAGCCGCTTGCCAAGGGAAAGAAAAGTTTTCAAAAAGAACGAGGGGGGAAAAGAGCGAAACAAATTCTGTGCTGTTATTGGGGGAGGGTATGAGCTGAAGTCATTAAATGTGTTATCAGTTAAAGGGAGGATGGGAAATACAGCTTTGATTTCAGCGGGGATGGTACAGACAGAACATCCACAGATGTAGTGCTGATTGCTTCCAACAAATGGTGCAATTTTAGTTGCACTATTTGTGTTTGAAAGTTTGTCTTTCTTTCAATTCACTAACAAAACAAACCCGATGCAGCATTGGAGTCTCCGATCACTGTGCTGCTTACGTACAACTATTCAGATCTACTCAAAGCATTCTCTGGAGAGCTTCTTTTAATCTGTTTAACCCTTATGATCTAAAAGATTTACCTAAAATTTACATGAGATATTCCTTCGAGTAAGGTTTATAGTTTGGAAACATTTAGCAGAATGTCCAAGCTTCTTTTTTTTCCCCATACAGTGAAAGTGAATGGTGAACTTAAAGCTTAGACATTCTTGAGATGAGTGAGACTAAATGACGACAGTTTACGTTTTTAGGCTCCTTTTTGTTATTTTTATTACATTTAAATTATCGTTTTCTACATTTCCTTAAAAAAGCAACACCTTTTTATGTTATTTAATGTGCCATTGGCATTTCCGCCACATTCTCACACACCACTAGGGGTTCATGAAACTGTGGTCTAGAGGAAAGACAAAGACCCTCGGTGTCATGTATTTTTGTGTTATCTATCTTACACTTTGCCCTCAGTCACCTGTGTGTGCATATGTATGGGAGTGTAGACGAGGTGCTCGTATAGGTGTGAGCGATGGCCCCATAGCAGGAAGTTGACAGAGGTCTTGCTTTAATTCAGTGCCAGAGAGGTGTGTACTTATGGCTGCTTGTGCTTGTAGTGACAGCACATGCTCTCCTATTATTGGACCTGTGCCTTGTGCTCCAACCTGCCACTGAAGTACCATGCTGCCCTCTGCTGCCTCAGCCAAGAATTGCACACTTAATTTAATAGTGTGTGTGTGCGTGTGCGCGTTTTTGTGACAAATGAGGACATCAATTTGTATAATGACAAGGGTATGACATAGGTATTACAAGGAGAAGGTGACTTTTCAGGACATTACCCCATGTCCCCACTTTTCAAAACGCATATAAATCACACAGAATGGGGTGTATTGAAAATCTGAAATAGCACAAAGTTTCCTGTAAGGCGTAGGTTTAGGGGGAG